GTTATTTTAATCTTATACTATTATATAAAGCGGAAGAGTTTGTTTTTTGTTTGAACGCGCTAATCTCCGTAACTACAAGTCTGATTTGAATAATTCTTTTTGTGTTGGATAGCGCATTTATCTATAGGCTATAAAACATCACGCTACGACCAATAGGAGCTGAGCAGAGCCTGTGAAACCGCGCGGAAGGAGCTAGTAAAATATAAAAAAGACAATAAAGGTGTGCCTGTGACAATGGAAGTAATAAAAACATTGAGATGAAAAATTAAAACACAACACAATGTACATATTAACATAATATAAATATTCTCCAGGTCAAATAATATCACCAAACCAGTTAATACATTTCATGACGAGATCTTAGCAATGATTAACTAAGTACCGATGCGAGAAGTCTTTGACGCAAATAATCATATTCCTGTTGTTTACTTTCATCTCCACAAGTTATTCGGGGACAGCAAAACGGATACACTAGGCCTTCTATGTCAAGTGAGAATATTTTGCATTCCGGATCATCAGTGTCCACGACAGGGCAACTGAAAAAATAAAACAATTTCTTATTTCTTCAAGTGTAGCACAACAACAGAAAATAATAATAATACTAAATCGTTTATTCAAAACAAAGAAGTACACGTTACAATATCATGACACTTATTTAGAATTCATGAAGACATTTAGTTTTTTTTTTATTTAAGGGTGGGGAAATCATCGCTTGGTTGAGGCGGGATAGTGTCAGACTCTTACTGACTAAAAACCACCCCGTTCCTTCTCCTGCACGTCGAGCCGGAGCTCCGGTAACCCATTAGGTTCTCCGCGACAAGATATTTACTTCCTATATAATTATGTTCAATGACCCCCATGCTAGAAGAACCTGTGTTACAGGGGTCATCCTACCGTCCATTTTTTATGATAAATACATATGAAAAGCATTTGAATAGAGAAATATATAAATATGAACTAATTTACAAACGACTTACGTGGTTATAGTAATTTCGTTATCGTAGCATTCATACCGACCGCAAAAGACGTCTTCTACCATCTTACCACCCTTAAGGTACCTACCCAACGATTCTACATAGCAACCTTTTCGAATGCCTGTAAAAACAAAATTATTAAAACAACATTTTAAAGTTTTACTTAACATAACATAACATAGCATCATGCCTATTATCCCCGAAGGGGTAGGCAGAGGTGCATATTACGGCACTTAATGCCACTGTACCATGTAACACCCACTTTACACTATTTTAAGTTATGAGTCCCAGTGTAATAGGGGGTGAGCCTATTGCCATATACCGGGCACAATTCCAGACTTCGTGCTCCCACTGAGATTTTTTTAATAACTAATTTTCCCGACCCGGGAATCGAACCCTAGACCCTTGCCCGGCAGTCGCACTTGCGACCACTCGGCCAACGAGGCAGGTTTAACTTCAAATAGAAAAACCAATTCCCTCTCAAGACGAGCGAAAAAAAAGGTAAATACCCACTGCTCTATAATGAGAATTATTGTGTTACTTAAATCTTAAACATAATTAAAATTAATATAACTTTCTTAGTTTCGTATTCCGCAAAGAAGGACATCAACAAATAATTATTTTCATTTTCCATCATCATATTGACTCTTTCAATGATTGCTTTGTATCCTACATCGCCCGGTTCGTTTTGCAAGCAAGCAACATTGCCCCTTCGAACAAACAGGCACCAGACAATTGTTACGGTCTAATATCTGCTTGCACCATAATACAATATCAATATCGTCTTCAAAACAATAAAAAATAACACAAAAACATAATATAATGTTATCAATGTAATTAAAAAAAACCATTTGACGTAACCACATCCATTAACACCTTGAACGCCATGGGAGATAAAGTATGAGCCACGATAGCGGAGGATTTACCTTCAACAGTTTTCTGTCGGCAGTCAAACTGTTAAGATTCTAAGAAAATAACAACTATTTCTTAAAAAACCTGTTCTCGATTCAACGTCAACGTCACAACACAAAAATAACCACGTCAACGTCAACGAATGCTCAGTAATGTCAATTTAATTATCACGATTGCGGATTCTCCTTATAAAGTAAAAAAAGGTAGAAAGATATCTGATGATGTAAGGTCAACAATGATTCATAATTCAAGCATTTTGCCAAAAGCTAATGATTAAATACACATATCAAATGTAAACAATATTTTATGTTAGACGGAAGAGGATTTCCGAGGTGTGATTGATTGACGGTGACGTCATAAACTCGAATGATTTTCACAAATATAAAATTATCGGAAAACTATTAAGTCTTATTCATGTCTGATGAGTTTGTTAAATCATTTTACTAGATATTCTAGGCAATATTTCGTCATTGTTTAATAATGGTCACTTAGATCCTTAACTCGTTGAGTACCGTCATTATAGACACAATTAAAGAACAATAGGTTGCGGTCACCGGTGTCCTCACAGTGTTTGACAGTTGACTATGACTGCCTCGTTAGCTGAATGGTCGCAAGTGCGACTGTCACAGAAAACCGACGTGAAGCAACGCTTGCGATGCGTTTCGTCGTGTGAGAGAGGTTACCGGAGGCCCAATAACTTTTCCCTTTCCCAATGTCCCCAATTCCAGAATCCCCAACGATCCTCAAACTCCTAATTCCCAAATGGCCGGTAACGCACTTGTAACACCTCTGGTGTTCCAGGTGTCCATGGGCGACGCCGATTGCTTTCCACCAGTTGACCGATTACCGGGTTATGCCATAAAAAAATAATATACCTCTACATAGGTAAGCACGTAAATTGTTTATTGTGTTCTGGCTTCACATCAACCGCTTCATTTCTCTGCGCTTCCCTATGGTTGACTGTTAGAGAATGCCTTAAGGCATTAACTCCGCCATTCACTGTTATCTTTGGTGAAGAAGAAATAAATCACTACATAGTATAATACAAAGTCGCTATCCGCCGTCTGCCTGTCCCTACGTATGCTTAAATCTTTAAAACTGCACAACGGATTTTGATGCGATTTAGTAGATAGAGTGATTCTTAAGGAAGATTTATATGCATATTACCCGTGCGAAGCCGGGGTGGCTCGCTAGTAAATAAATAAAAATAAATGATCATCACAATCAAAAAACAAAAAAGAATCAAACAGTTACAATATTAGAAGACAAACAAAAATGTGCATCACAATAAAATGAAACCCAAACAAAACATTTAATTAAACACTTTCACACAGACTTATATTATATACAGACTTTAGAGACTTTCACAAACACTGAGACAAACATTTTTAATAGCTTTTAGCTCGTCCATGAATAGGTCACAGTTGGGGTAGGCTTAGGCTTTAATAGCATCAGGCTATTGAGCGCGGACGGATACTTAAAGGTACTGATCTATAATTTAAACTATGCCGATCATTAGTCTCTCTGTATCCCGACGTACAGAAAATAGCTGGTATAAAACATTTTTAGAAGGATTTTTATCAATATTTTCTTTTTTATTCGTACAATGTTTTTTCTTACATGAAGACCTCGAATGAACCTTGACATCATCAAGAAGGCTCTTGCGGATAACAATATAAAATACCTACTTGATTTTTATTTGTATGTCTGACATTTCTCTTGTAATTTAAACTTTGACTGTCATATTGGTCAAGTGTTTACTGAGATGACTAGACATAATATTTTTTTCGAGACGGATCAATTGTTTTATTTTTTTATTTAAATAATTTCCTCAGCAGAAATTCCTATTTTTGAATTTTGAATGGAGAAACCTAATGGAATATCCCTACATTTAGAGGACTCTTAATGACATAAAATATATTTATGCTCTATTGTCATAACTTAGAGGTCTATTATAAGCCTACGGGGATGCAGAACTTGTTTCATTCATTGGCTAAAAGAAAAACTACACTAAAGAGATGGCAATAGAACTTTAATTGCAGTGGCTCGAGAAAATCCGGTAATGACGCTTAGTGCAAAAATAACTGCAAGACTATTAGTATACGTACTTATCATGGTTCTTTATGAATCTCAATAAGTTATAATGAACACTACCACTTGACTTGATGTATCAATTTATGTTCGGATACGGTAAATTATAAAATCCTTTGCTGGTACACTCGGGAGCAAAAATGCGAAACCATTTGCGATTTTTTTTTTCATTTTATCGAACCCTTTATACATTATTTAAAAAGTAACGTTCCTTTTACAAAAAATTGTCTCATTTTATTTTTTATTCGACATACGTTTCCAACTACGAATTACAATTATTACGAATATTTTATGGCATTCTGTGAATTCGTTCAGTGTAACGCGGTACCTAATAGTCACGATAGACAGTTAGACTTAGTACTGAGCGCGAGCGGGTCCGTGTCAGTGGGCGCAGCGGACGAGGGTTTGCAGCCGGTGGACGAATATCATCCGCCGCTGGCCGTCAGCGTCGACATAGGCGCGCGCGCTTGGTCTGCGCGGTTGCCGCCGTCGCCGCCGCCAACGCCGCCGCCGTCCCGCGCCCCTCCTGCGCCCTCTGCTCTTTCTGCGCCTCACGCACACAATCGTTCGTCTCCTACACACACTTCTTTACTACACAATAGTCAGCGTGCGCAATCCGCGATAAATCGTGAATTATTATGGAACTTCAATAAAGCTGACTTTATTACAATGTACGACTTATTAGCTAAAATAGACTGGAGTGAGATGTATTGTTTACAGGACCAGGAATTAGTTATAAATTTGTTTTATGAGAAGTTATATGGCGTGTTTGATATGTGTGTTCCTATAAAAAAGAATAGTCTAATGAACAATAATAGGTATAAATACCCGGTATGGTACACAGCTGACCTAATTAAAGACATACAAATTAAATACAAATTGCATAAAAAGTACAAATCTAGTAAATTACCGCATGACTACATGGAGTTTGCAAGATATAGGGCAAGAGTCAAGGCTGAGATCGCACGTGCTCATGACATGTACCGCGACCACGTTCAACAGCATTTGGTTAGAGAGCCGAGAGCGTTTTGGGGGTACGTTAGATCCAGGAGGGGGAATACAAATAATAGGAAATTAATTAAAGATGGGCGGGTGCTAGCGGACTATGAGTGTGCTAATGAATTTGCTCGCTACTTCCAGTCAGTATATAACCCGGAGCCCCCCGTACTGAGCGCGGCGGCGGCGGGCGCGAGCCGTGCGGCGGGAGCGGCGCGGGCTCACCTCGCGCTGCTGCGCCGCGCCGACGTGCGGACCGCGCTCGCGCGCTTGCCCCCTAAGCGTTCCGCTGGACCTGATGGTATTCCGGCCTTTATTTTTAGAGATTGCAGTGCAGTATTGGTGGACCCGTTGTTGCATTTATACAACGTGTTTGTTCGAACAGCAACGTTTCCCGATCGTTGGAAACTCACTCGGGTAGTGCCTGTGCCGAAAGGCAGTGGTGGGACTGAAGCTTGTGACTATAGACCTGTGGCAGTATTGTGCACTCCAGCTAAAGTATTTGAGTCGGCCATTCACAGCAGCCTGTATTCACAGGTGGGTCCTTTGCTGTCGGACGCACAACATGGCTTTCGTCCTGGGCGGGGAACGACGGGGAACTTGCTGGATCTTATGACACACGTTGTACCTGCGGTGGATGCTGGACAGCAGGTGGACGTAGCCTACTTTGATTTTCGGAAAGCCTTCGATACCGTAGATAATGATATCCTTCTGTCAAAGCTGGCCGGTGTAGGCTGCACACCGCACACACTGACATTCTTCTCAAATTATTTGAGAGACCGATGTCAGTACGTTGACTGTGGCGGAAGCCTTTCTGAGCCCTACTTTACTAGGTCAGGAGTAAGCCAGGGAAGTAATTTAGGGCCCCTACTTTTCATTTTAACCATTAATGATTTGCCGAGCGTAGTTAATAATTCCACACCGTTATTATTTGCTGACGACCTAAAATTAATTTTAAAAATAAAACAAACAGAGGATCATTACATTCTACAACAGGATATATCTAAAATTGAGGAATGGAGTATAGAAAACAGATTATTTTTCAACGCTGCCAAATGTTCCGTGTTATCGTTTAGCCGAGCTCATAACCCAAGTCATCACCAATACTGCTTGGCCGGAAGGCCACTGCAGCGGGTCTTTGAGGTCAGGGACTTGGGTGTACGCTTTACTACTGATTTGAATTTTAGGACTCATATTGTGAATATATGCAAAAAAGCTTACCGAAATTTAGGAATGGTATTACGTTTAGGTAACCAATTTACTAACTTTAATGCATTGAAAGCACTGTATGAAGCCCTTGTAAAAAGTCGTTTGGAGTGTAATGCCGTTGTCTGGTCACCGCATGAAGTCAAGTACAAACTGATGATAGAGCGTATACAAAACAAATTTGTTAGATTTTTGTACTTAAAAATGAATGGTGTTTATCCGGGTTACCCGCTTTTGTATCCGACTCTTTTTGTATTGGGCATGGTGGGATATTTTAAAATTGAGGTGAGGAGGGAAGTAGCTGTCGCTACTTACTTATTTAAAGTACTTCGCGGCAAAAAATATAACCCGAGGGTTTTGGAGCTGATACAGTTATGTGTACCGGATGCATACGCGGCGCGCCGGCGCAAGCCAGCGCTGCTGGCGATACCACGCGCACGCACCAACCTCCTACAGCGCGCGCCCCTGACGCGGGCGCTGCGGACGCTCAATGTGATGTCGGAATACATTGACTTATTTTATTGTACACTGAACGAATTCAGAAGAGCCTGTTAATGTACCTGTACCCATCTGTGACTTAGCTTAAGGAATATGTTTGTTACCATAGTTATAAATGTTGTAGTACCAAATTGTAAAATTAGACTTTGTAATTTAATTCTATTAATATTGGCATACACTATTGCATTAGGTATTAATTCCTGTTATAATAGTAGTATGTACTTAGTTTATAAATAAAAAATAAATAAATAAACTATTAAAACACTTGTATCTAAAAAACGAAAAAGATGATTCCCCCCTTAAAAAAATGGTTGCTAAGCAACTGCTCAGCATGCCGTCGATTGATAACCCAGATTGAGGGGTATAATCATTAAGATTTTTTTTGTTACAAAACATGAAGCATAATTTTTTCCATCATTACCTAGTTACATTTTAGCACATTTTCTTTTTTTGTTTCTTCTTCCAACAAGGACAACAATCTCCAAAAAACCTCGTATTCGTTTTAACAAACAACGCAAAATTAAAAGCACTTAAGCAAAATAACAAAAATGTTAAAAATAGTTATTTAATTTTAATTCATAAAAACAGGTATAAACTAGTTGATCCCTGTTCTGTTATTTAGCATCTAAACATGGACAGGTAGCTGTGTATTTACCACAAACCAGTTATTTGTTGTTTATATGTTGCTAACCGCTCGATTTTACGCCTAAACCGCAATATAAAACTACTATGGTATTGTAATTGACTATATCAATATCGAAATAGGATACGTAAGTAGCCAATGAAGTATGTGGTTAAATTACCAGATAAACCTTGGTAAAATATTTTCAATAGATTAATCGGTATCGAACATTAACATCTAACTAAAAATCGCGGGTTACTGACAGCCTACTGCCAGTACTACTGACAGGCTGCTGACAGTACTACTGACAGGTTACTGACAGTACTACTGACAGGTCACTGACTGTACTACTGACAGCCTACTGGGTGCTCTACAGCGCCGCGACCACGCACGCTGCTCGTGAGGAAGAACCCCTCTGTGGTTCGAAACTAGTAGAGCTTTTCCCAGTATATTCACGTGAGTAACCCACGTTTTTTAGTTAATTGAGTGTGTTTTACGATACTTATTATAAAAATATCACTGTCTTACTTACATAAAGAAGTCTACAAATTTACTAAATAATTTGAACAAATAAACTTTTAAAATGAAATAGTAGGACTTCAATTTAGGATCAACATCAACAGAACTGTGGGAAATACCCAAAGAACGCAATTTCACTAAAAACGCCATAAAACAGGTACAACCATAACAATCTATGACGTATGTCGTATATATTACGCAAATATGTAGGTTTAAAACGTTATAAATACATTATACGAGTATTATTGGTTATGCAAAATCTCCAAATGACGTAAAAGAAAATTATGCTATGTAAAAACACTAAAAGTTTTTAAGTCAAAACATTGAACAAATTGTCATTTTTTTTATAATTTTTTGTGCTACATGATAATAAAACGACACATTATCATCTATACATGCTTTAAATTTACTAATATTATAAAATGTGGTATGTTCCTTAGGTACTTTATTCGCGAAATAAACTAATACGTATATTATAATATATGGAACAGAGATAGATTAAGAATTTACAAAATGCAATGTCAAAAATCGATTTCAAACAATTGATTTTGATTTATAATCTATTTTTTTTATAAATGGGACAAGTCACAACCGCCAAAAACCACTGCAACTCCTGTAAGCCTGGATCTACGGAAGATACAACCATGAAAACACCGGAACACTGAAGTTTGGCGCGTCTCAGGGACATGAATAACTGTCTTGGATCCCGCAACGAGAAGACAAAACGATAGTTCTCACTGCCCTCGGTGAATTACTGCAGGTGACAGAATGAAATAAATCTAAAGGCACAAAAAACCTATACAACTTAGGAAGCCCAATCGCCGAGCACCATGGAAATTTGACTAAAAAAATTTGATGATCTATTATAAATTTTAGGTGCCAAGTAATAAGGATGCAATTTCTACCTTGTCCTCCAATGCAGGAAAGGAGGAGAATCATCCAATGACTTCTCCGTTTGTTGTTCTCTGAGTGAGGTGAGAGATAGTGTCAAACTACTGACTAAAAACCACCCCGTTCCTACTACTGCTTTTCAAACCAGAGCCCTGGCAACCCTAGCTACGCAAAGACATCAGTCTCACTGGGCCCCATCTATGTCTACCAAGTAATTAGCATTTAGTCAATGAAAGTAAGAGAACATAATAACAACCTTAGCTAGATTAGGAAAAAAGGTTCCGATACATGAAAATTGAGCTATCTAACCCATCTAACTACAACCAACCATAAAAGTACAATGACCGCAAAAGTATAGCGTTTAAACTGTCAAAAAAAAACAATATAAATATCGTACACAACACATTCTGGGCCACATTCCTCAAACTTACATAAGAAACAAATTAATTTCGACAGTTATCCATCTAAATTCGACTTAACAAAATAACATCGTAAAATAAATCATCGATACAAACTAACGGAATCGCATTCCTTAGAAAAACCCCGGATTTTAAATGAATTACGCTTTAGAGCAAAGAAACGGAGAAATACATACATAAGTTCACGCCAGTCTACCAGACTATGGAACGCCTATAGCTATACCGAAACGGAGACTTTAAAAAAATATTCATTTTACGACAAAATACTAATACTAGAAGAGCCTAAATTACCTTTTATATGACATAAGCTATCAATCAAAAAAACATCTACTTATGTATATCAGAAAATGAAATATAAAACAAAATCTGCTGGCTACGATTCTTTGCTCCCAAATGTATAAACAAAATAACTCGTTTTGTTACTTTAATTCTGTAACTTTCATTCTAAAGTGGAGTGCTTTTGTTAAACATCCAGTGTATATGGTCTACTTACGATCAAAATTAATAACATTCTCTCTGTATCCATTCTAAGGCTGGTTTTAGTCTCACGCTGACGGCACGCGATTTTTTTTTTATACTACAACGGTGGCAATAAAACCTCACGGTCAACCTGATGGCAAGCGGTTACCGTGGCCTATGTACGCTCGCAACACTTGGGGCATTGCATACGCCTTGTTAAAAAACCTATTCAAGAGGAGAGTTCTTGGAGAACCCCATGTTGTAGCCCACTGGGAAAATCACGCTGATGGCCGATATATTATAAGTCAAAGTCAAAATCATTTATTTCAATTAGACCAGGAAGGCTTTTGAACGTCAAAACAAAATATTTAAATCCTTACTAATATTATAAATTGGCAAGTGAGTTTGTTTGTTTGTTCCGCTTTCACGCCGTAACTACTAAACCGATTGCTTTGAAGTTTTGCAGACGTAAAGTTAGAAGTCCGGATTAACTAATAGGGTACTTTTTATCCCGGAATAAATTTATATTCCCGAGGGAAAACAAAAGCATTGGTATAGATGGCGCTGACTGACTTTTTATTCTTTTGAGACGCGAGCAAAGCCGCGGGTAAAAGTTAGTATTAAATAATAAGAAAAAATGTCAGTCTGTAGGTCAGTCCTCTAGTGAAGCTATTTACTATATATTTCGGACAAGCCCACCACAACCTCCCAAACCTGCTACTCCTGTAAGCAAGGATCTAGTACAAATATATGTACACGAAAACACCGGAACACCGAAGTCCGGCGCATACCTACTAAACCAGCCTAAGATTTTGAATCATATCAATCTAATCTAAGTAAAAATCTCATCTCGGATTGATTTCCGATTCAAGGCTAGAATACTATAATTTTATTTTTTCGCAAAAAATAATCTTACCCGGGCCCAGCTCTCTGCTTTCCCTAAAGATAGCTGCTGATGCAATTTCTAAAATATATGCAAAAATAAACAATTTAAAATTCATTGTATATGTTTTAATGTCAATCAACAAGTTGAAATAATAAGGAACTAGTGAATTACGTTTCATTTATATTTCGATTTATATTGCATACAACTATCTAATTTGATTATGTTCAATTTATCAAATACATCTTTTGTAATGGAACATTTCATTATAAGTATGTACTTAATATTGCAAACTATTTGTGATCAATGTTACATACAATTATAATTAAATACTTAGTTATATAAGTCGTAAAGTAACAAAACAGTAAATGTTTTATCTGAAACTAGCTTTTGCTAGTAGCTTCGCTCGCGTTTCTGGGGGTAAAAGTCGCCTATGTATTACTCCAGACCGGTCCCGTCAGCCGTTTAGATGATGGTGAAGATGACGATAACAAATTACACACAAAAACTCACAATTTTTTCCCATTTAGAATAGTGGTTCAAGGAACTTTCAACCAGTTGCAGCTTAAGGTCCACAGCGGGCAACTTAATATTCGACATACTTATATTTGTGGTTGGTACAGTTTGTAACTATGCCTAGGGATTGAGCCGCACAATTAAGTTTATTTCTCAGTATACTCATCATCATCAACAGCTTATAAATGCCCACTGCTGAGCAAAGCCTCTTCTCACACAGAGAAGGTTTGAGCATTAATCACCACGCTTGCTCAATGCTGATTGGCGATGTCAAACTTATAATTAGAAATTATAAGCCCAGGTTTCCTCACGATGTTTTCCTTCACCGTTGGTCAGTGGTGTCTAAATAATCTTAAAAAGTACATATAACTCGGAAAAAGTCACATTGGTACTTGCCGTTGATAGGTTTCAAACCTGCACCCTCGTGCATGAGAAGCAGGCGTCTTCAACCTCCGGGCCACCACAACACCAAGTCTCAGTGTACTATACAATACGTTTTTAGTATAAAATTTGTGATGCCCAGGATATTAAAGTATATTCAAGTTTCATAGTATGTGGACCGGTAGTTTTTGCGTCATGGAGTAACTTCTCTCGTTTTCCCAACATTTCCCTTCACTACTCTGCTCCTATTGACTGCAGCGAGATGAAAAGTAAACTATACCCAGCTCAGGAGTATGAAAAATAATTGTACCAAATTTAGTTAAAATCCGTCGAGTAGTATTTGTTTCTATAACAGTTATACTCACAAACATCAGCACACTGACGACTTTCATTGCGATTCTGCGATTTTAGTTTTAACATTGTCGGTTTAAAAAATAGAATAAATTGACGCATTCAAAATGTGTTAAGTGGATTTTCCCAGATCACATTGTTGTTGCAAAAATATTTTCATGTTAACACTTTTTTGTGTTAACTCGTTATTATTAATATTTAGCACATGTTTTCTAATACTTCAAATATTTCTATAAACTGATTTTTTATGGGGCTGGTAAACTAGCAGACGGATCACCAGATGGTAAGCAATCGGCGCCGCCCATGAACACCTAAAACACCAGAGGCGTTACAAGTGCATTACTGGCCTTTTGGGGATTAGGAATTTGAGTATTGTGGGTGATTTGGGGATTAGGAAGACTGGGGAGGAGGGGTAATTGGACCTCCGGTAACCTCACTTATACGATGAAACACAACGCAAGCGTTGTTTCACGTCGGTTTTCTATGAGGCCGTGATATCACTCCTATTGTAGTATTCTATTGTGTTTTTTTCTAAAAGCTCATTGCTCCTTCTTACGAGTTGTTATTTTTAGCTCTCTTTCACTCTGCGGAGCTGAGATCTTGGAGAACTTTCGTTGCAAAAGCACTAAAAGCACTAGTCGCATTCCCAGCCAGTCGCATGACAGAATTGCATTGAATGTATGTATTAATGTATGTATGTAGGGTCTAGGGGTTTCAGTTAACGTAAACTAATAAACTAAACGTAAAATAAACTATGTATTTAAAAAAATAACCATCTTTTATAATATCAATAGAGCAACGTCTTCGCTCATGATCATCCGCCATCTTCTATCAATCTCAGTCATACCCATTCATTCCGTCCGTTCGGATTCATTCACTCAACATCTTACATTACTTCACCAAGTATTCGGATACACACATACCATCCCACATGTACATATGTAAGTTATTGCATCGAGGATAAGAAACTTGCTCGTGTGCCTATCAACAAGTACCTACTTTAATGAATTTTAATTACTTTGTTCTCGGCCTGATGCTGTGAGGAAATTTCTTTAAATTATGACATGCCGTTTTGAATTTGTACATACATTCAGTTTAATCAATGATACATGCGCAACCTTCACGGCGTTTATCTTTGGAGGGTCAAGCAGAGGTTAACTGGAATTATTCTTCATAGATGATAATTATTTGTACATACATAAGTACTTAATACAATATATGAAAAATAATTGCGGCTACAATTTTTTCATTGTTTGATTTGAGCTTCTATAGTCGAACATTGTCTGTATTTCGACAATCAGTGCCCAATCCTCAAACGTACAGATAATTTCAGCCTTTCTAATTTAAGTTATAAAAATATTAATGTTAAAAAAATAACAAAAATAAGATAAAGAATACACAAAATTAACTATTGAAGTATAACGATAGCCTCATTATCATATCGAACGGTTTTGTTTTTGGAAGCGTTATTTTTATATTTGGTTTCGATAATATTGCACTGAATCTAGAGTACCTACAGGAGGCATGACAATCTATAAGTTTATTACAGTCAGTGAACAAATCTCTCTTTGACTGTATTTAGGTGCTGCATTGTTCTCACACAATCGAACCAACAAAACTATGTAACTAGAGAATTGTATTGTAAGCCCGATTGAAAAAGAGTAACCTATGGAGTTTATTACTCGTTCTTTTCCATAGGAATTGTATATTCCTTGAAATGAGCAACTAGCTTCATTTCTATACCTTTGTTGTTGACGTTCAAAAGTGCCTTCCTGGTCTAATTGAAATAAACGATTTTGACTTTGACTCTGAAAAATCATGTCGTTAACTATCTTCGAGTATCGTTTTAACTTCGTCAAACTTAAAGTGATTTATCCCTCACCGTCATCACTGGTTTACATTTTGTATGCATTTTTTGCCACCGGGCTTCTGAAGACAAAAATGGCATTTAAAATAAGCAATAAGCAATAATTGACACATACACGTGTATGTCAATTTTTACTTACAAGACAAGTAGCTGCAACCTTACACGTAATAGGCTATAATAATATACACTTACTTCCAATGATAAAAAAGTCAAAACGTGTAGATAGGTTACAAGCGCTCAGAAAGTGGCACGTTAAAATGTGCTTAAGTGTGGGAGAGCCATGCTTCGTCACGAATGGGCCGGCTCGACCGGAGTGATACCACGGCCTCACAGTAAACCGACGTGAAACAACATTTGCGTTATGTTTCGTTGTATCTCCCTTCTTTCCAATCTTCCCAATCCCCGAATCCGCAACAATCCTCAAATTCCTGAGCCACAAAAGGCCGATAACGCACTTGTTACGCCTCTGGTGCACCGGGTGTCCATGGGCGGCGCCGATTGCTTTCCATCAGGTGTATGTCTGTCCGTATACCGGATTATTGCATAAAAACAATTATTTTATCTCAGATTTGCGTTGCGCCGTCAGCATATTTATGTGTTCGGTAAAGTGTTTTTTAATATCTTTTTACTTATATGTAAATTTCTTTGCTTACCTCAGTACGGAAAGTGGCAGATTCATTAACACGTTACAGAAAGAGAGACTTCGAATGAAACTCATACAAGTTCATAAAATAACTTCTATTGTAATAAACAATTTGCGATAAGATAACTTTTAGAGCTTGAAAATTTTGTTAATATCCGTCATAGTATAATTAATATTTTATCTTACTTAATATTTAATAATACTTACTTAATAATAACTTAATATTTTATCATTTATTAAGGTCATGGCGTTTTTAACCGACTTCAAACGAAGAAGGAGGTTCTCAATTTGGCCTGTAATGATGTATGTTTATCCGCGATTATCTTGCGTTATTTTAATATTTATGTGGTTATCAGAAAAGTTAGACTTAGGAGAAGGTTCTAGTATATTAATTAACCGACTTCAAAAGAACAGGGGGTTGAAGTCGGTTTTTTTAAATGCAGTTTATAAAATAATTACTTAAAAACAAATTCTTACAGTAAATTAACTTCTAAATTCACCGTCAAAATTATCATTTTTTTAGGCATAAACTAGTAAACGATCAGACGGATCACCTGATGGTAAGCAATCGGCGTCGCTCATGGACACTCGAAACACTAAGGCGTTACAAGTGCGTTACCGCCCTTTTGGGAATTGAGAATTTGAGAATTGTGGAGGATTCGGGGATTCGGGAGATGGGGACTAGGGACGGAGACTAGGGTAATTGGGCCTCCGGCAACTATGGAATAAGGCTCAAAACAATTTTATCAATTGAGGATATTTCTTTATTCATACGTTATCAGTTATAAGTATCACTTAGTAACGACTGAGTTTAATCTAAGTGGTTGTCAACATCACACTCGATCGTGGGACAGCAGTCTGGGTAGGGTTTACTCAAGTCTTTCTCAGTCACGTAGCATTTAGGATCATCAGTCGCGACTGTGCCGCATCTGTAAGAATAACATCGTAATACGTTGATTTATCGTACCGAAAATCCCCAAAATTTGTTCATATAAAAGTAGTCTCTAAACATCGAAAATAAGGTCTATAATGTAGTTAGTGTAGAGCGGTTACTGGTGACCGCTCTACTCTAACTAATGAATCTTTGATTTTATTGGTGAATCTTTGGTTTTATTCATATTTGCAAAGAAAATTATAATGTTTACATTGTTATTATTTGACAGCTTCCGCAAATGTTGTAAACGCTACGCGTCGCCGCCGTCGCGCACATAGCCAATAGGAAGGTATGTTTTTTTTATATTATAACTAGCTTCTGTCAGCGGCTTCGCTCGCGTTCCCAGGTAAAAGTAGTATATGAGTTACTCCAACCCATATTCTACCTCTGTTCCAAATTTCATACCTCGTCCCTTCAGCCGTTTTAATGTGACTGAGTAACAAACATACACACAAACTCGCATATTTTCACATTTATAATTTCGGTTCAAGCGAATTTCAACCATCGGCCCTATAGTTACAGCGTAAAATCCACTGCGGTTAACCTACCATCCGACACACTTTTTTTTTAAGGGGGGAATATCATCGAATGACTGCTCCCGCCTGGGTGAGGTGTGAGGGAGTGTGAAACTCTTACTGACTAAAAACTACCCCGTTCCTTCTCCTGCACGTCGAGCCGGAACCCTGGTTACCCGTTAGGTTCTCCGCGACCATTCGACACACTTATATTTGCGTTTGGTACAATAACTATGTCTAGGAATTGAGCCGCACAATTAAATTTGTTTCTCTGTGTACGTATATACTTTTTCGGGATAAAAAGTTATCAGTGTTGTACCCAGGATATTAAAGTATAATCCTATCAAGTTTCATCGTAATCGGACCAGTAGTTTTTGAGTAATACGTGAACACATAGACAGAAAGACAGACCAAAAAATTTTTTTATCACATTTTTGGCTTCAGTATCTGTCTAGTAACACCTCCTACTATTTACTTTTTTAATATTTTTAATGTACATGTACAACATTTCGCAGGTGCCCCAGATTTCAGAGAATATCATTCTACTTGGATGAACAATTACAATGGCAATAGGCTCACCCCCTATTACATGGGACTCATAACATAAATACTGAAAAGTGGGTGTTACATTGTACAGTGGCATTAAGTGCCGTAATGTACACCTCTGCCTACCCTTTCGGGGATAAAAGGCGTGATATTATGTTATGTTACAATGACATAATTCCTTTTCTACCACTGCCTGTATACTATGCAAGCTGTATGACACCAGAATAATTATGATTCATAGTCCTACCGTATCACATATTCAGTCGGTTTCGTGACATTCAATTTTAACTTTAATTACCTTAAAGGCAGGTTGGTAGAATCTATACAGATAAATGAAATTGGGAGTGTCGGTTAGTAATATTAAAATAACCGCTTTTTATTACATGCGGTATAAATATTGTTTATAATTTTTATTTGTCTGTTGGTCTGTGTGTTTGTACTGGTTAATCTCTGGAATGGCTGGACCGATTTTGCTAGACTTTTATCGGCAGGTAGCTGATGCACTAAGGAGTAATATAAGCTGTTCTTATTTTAAAAAATTAAAACAAAAATAAGTTATGTTCTAAAATTAATATTCGTATAAATAATTCTCGAGCACCAGCAAGTTAATAATAAAACAAAGGAAAGATTCAAAATAAAACTCAAACAAGTTTTATATTAATTTCTAATTCAATAAAAAACAAATTAAATTAACAATTTGGTGGCAAGATAGCTTCTAGAGTTTAAAACTCTTTGAAAAGGAACTCCATCTATCTATTCGTCATAGTACAATGACTCTAGATATATCCCTGTTAAAATCATGGCGTTTTTTAGAAATAAATTCATATTATTATACGTCACTTCTTTTAAAAAAAAATTCTATGCATCGTCAAACGCTTACCTTAAATCTACTTCAAACATTACCATTAAATATATAAAGCCAAGGATACACTAGGGGGCAAATCTCCCAAAATATGTATATATAGTCAACCGATATTGACTGACATATACGGCGATACAACGCGCGACTTAGGTCCACGTACACGTTGTTGTTGCCAGACATGTCGAACAAAGTCTAAGAACGTCGCACTCCTTCACCCAACGTCACTGGCTACTTGTGGCGGGCATTTGTCCCTAAGTGTACCTTTGGCTTTATAATTGATAAATTAAAAATATGGCACATAACAATTTCATCAATTCACAACATTCCTTTATTCACCGTTCACAAACTGGTAACGCCAAGATTCTAACACGGTTGGAAACTAAACCTAAACTTAGAAACGATTAAGTCTAAAATAAATTGTTGTCAATATCACACTTGATGTCTGGACAGCAGTGCGGGTAGGGTTTACTTAAGTCTTCGTCTGTCACATGGCATTTGGGATCATCAGTTGAAACTACACCGCATCTGAAAGAAAAAAAATGTTTTTAGAAGATAACAGCTAATAGTTTAAAGTACAGTGACCTGGAGATGAACAACTTCATATTTGTCAAATTTATTCGTTGGATTTTCGACTTTATACTAATACTAAATAGTTGAACATTTAATAGAGGCAAACAGAAAATGATAGGTTGAGCTGCACTGGCTACCGTACATCTGATCACAGTATTATGCCTAATTATAGCTTAAAGAATCAATTTGATAGTTTTAGTTCTAGGCTCGCACTATTTAAATTCAAATTAATGAATTCTGATAACATTACCCTTGTGTAAAATATAGCAATAAGATAGAAATAAGAGGAATTATTATAGATGAGTATGGAGTACTTACGATGCATAGTCCATCACGCTTCCACAAGAAATACTGTAACATACGCCAATAGGAGACACTGTGTCACCAAAAGGAATAACGTCATTGATTTCTTCTACATAACAACCACTTTTGTGAGCTGAAACAAATAAAAAAATATATATCAGACTGTGTTTAAGGATATCACGTTTGTTAAATGAAAGTAATCTCTAAACATCTGTATTTAAAGTTGACGATTGTTTAAACTATGTTGTCAATATTATGTACATTTTGCAGGCAATTTAAATAACAGTTCAACTAGTAGCCTGAACGACTACACCGGCTTAAACCTAGCTGTTTGGTTGAATGGCTTAATATTTTATTCCGATCTTTACTTGAAGATTTAAGGGATTGCAATGGTAGGTTTAGTTAGAATCAACTCCAAAACCCCAAAAGATCTCGAGTTACAAGGGTAGTTTCCTAAATGTTATTTTAATGTACGTCTGGTACATTAATTTAAAACTTTAGACACGTAATTTGTCTTTTCTCACAAAATTAAATACTTTCAACGATATATTAATTTGAAATATCGTGTGACGTCACAACGTGCTACATTTTGTAGCACGTTATGAAGTAACGACCTCCCACTCCTAAACTTAGCGCCATTTTATCTAAGTATTGCAACTGAATACGAGAAAATAAAAAAAATTCGTGTCTAATATTTTTTCATTATCTAACTGACGGACTAATTAGATTTTTAATTTTGATACCCTGGAACTACCCAATTATTAAACAATTCAATTTTATACCAGGTGAAGTTATTAGTTGAACAGCTAATTAACCGCCAGTTGATTATATACATAACATAAATGTTACCAGAGAAAGGGAAAATGAAGTGTTCGTCAGGTACAAACATTTGATAGCATACTAAAATACTAATCTAGACAAAAAAATCTAGTAGGTACTAGAATAACTTATCTTATTGCAATTGCAACGTTTAGTTCAGTTAGTTTACATTTAAAATTAGTTATACTTGACTAAACCACAACAGATTGTATACAAAATTGAAGTTTATTCTTTAAGAATTTAAGTATGTTCTTGTAAGATCCTAATATTATACAGGTTCATACAAAATATTAACAACTCAACATTAATTTAAGGTTTACGTCAAAGCATAACAGTTGAAGTTTCAAACTTAAACTGAAGTTAATAATAACAAATATTGAGTAAACACTTCAAGATTATAAAAGAAGGTCTTCTGCAAAAGAGTCTTCTGACACAAAAACACGCAAAAATAACTCACCGAGTCCTGCAGGTTTCCTAGGAGGCATGCCCATCCACGTCGCTGCATTAGCGGTCCCAACAATCAAGGCAATAATAAAAATCTTCGACACCATTTTATAGTCCAACAGTAACAACTACAATCAAAATACTCCACTCAAATGGAACTTTGAAGTTATTTAAATTAAAAATAAGGTTTAAATATTAACTTCACGTGTTTTGTAAGAATATCGCACCGCTATTTATGTGTAGTTTCGAGCTGTCCGAGAATCCGAATGACCACCCGCCGGCCGTGATCTTGTTTTTGTTCCAAAACAACTGATTACACACTTGCGACTCCAGATGTATCACGCAATTCGTTCGTTTTGTCTTGGAGATAACCAAGTAACCCATTTAACTACCGTTATAATCTAACTGACTTGGTATTTCATGTAATATCAGTGAACAGTACTTCTAGTATGTGGTCGTCTGTAATAATTTTAGTTCAAGATTTATCGATCTTTCCTCCAATGAATGCACCTACAAATTTAGATATCTTAATTACATGCTAAGAAACGACATTGGTGAAAAAAGAAGAAAACAAACCTTCAAAAAAAACAAAGCAAATTACGAAAAACAAATATTTAACCTTTTGAATGTACCGATATGCGACACAATAGAAAATACATTTTGACTCGCGTGGATCCACGTCTTACGGCCATTTTCTATAACCTATCTATCTGTAGATTTACCTACTGAGATAGAATTTTGACACATTTTGTATGAAGCTTATGTCAAAATTCTATCTCAGTAAGCAAATCTACAGATAAATAGGTTAATAATAAATAATAAATAGGTAGGTAATCAATCTGTACGCTTTTGAGTATAAAATTCTTAGTCGCAAGGTTTGTAGACAGCCTTACGAAGGTCGCGAGCGCTATCGGAATGCTTGCCTGGGATTTACACGTGATTCATCATTTTAAATGTAAACAAACTTTTTTACTTCCAAAAATATTATCATAGATCCGTGAAGTATTTTTACCAAAAGGAGACGCTATTATCTACTTATTTTTTTTAACTCTTTCGCGAAGACGTAATTTTTTGTTGTTTTTATTGACCATGTATTACCACATTCTTGGTTGTGACCTCTACGTCAACATTTTAAGCTGGCAACATGACATAACATTCTTCGAAAGTATGTGCGCGAATTCTCGACAAGAAATTGGAAAGGTGTATTGGAATTTCTTTGGGTTATTCCTACAAAATATATCTTAGATGTAAAAGTGAGTCAGGTTAGCATTTTTTTATGATTTTATGGAAATGGTGAAGTCATTTGTCATGCTCGTTTGTGGTGTCGCGTCGCAATGTTTGATAATGTATGTGTTCGAATGAAGTGTGAGTGCAAGCCACGCTCCCTGGGGCAACTCGCTAGATGGAGTTGATGATGAAAACTTTAGATCAAACTATGTACCAATTTTTCAAAGTTCAATCTTCCTCTGTTATTTGTTTGCCGATTTGGAAGTTTTTGGGGAGGTTCAACACATATCATCAATATCAAATCGGCTTATAGCCGAACCTATTGCTTATTAAATAAAATATAACGTGGTGTTAAAATAATTCCAAGCTTAACCAAGACTGTCTCGTTCGCCGTGTAGTCGTAAATGCGACTGCCGGGCAAGGGGTCTCGGTTTCAAATCCCGGGTCGGGCAAAATACGATTTTGGGTTTTTAAAAAAATCTCAATAATAACATGGCTCACCCCCTATTAGATGGGACTTACAACATAAATAGTGAAGAGTAGGTGTCACATTGTACAGAGGCATTAAGTGCCGTAACGTTTTTTTTTTGTGTAGTAGGAGGCGAACGAGCAGACGGATCACCTGATGTTACGCGATCAGCACCGCCTTTAGACACTCGCAAAGGAGTCAGATGCGTTGCCGGCCTTTTAAAAAGGAGTAGGTACACTCTTTTCTTGAAATTTTGCACATACAAACATGCACCTCTGCCTAGGGGTAGAGAAGGTAGGGGGGTAGGGAAGGGGTAGCCCCTTCGAGGATAAAAAGACGTTATTTTCTTAGTAGTCCAAATCAGTTGCCATTATTTTTGAAAAAAGATGCCTAATTTATGTTATTCTTAAAGATATGTTACAAAAAGAGACTTGTAACACATTGACAACATTTTTAACGCAAATTCAAAATCGAAGACAAAGATTCCACAAATCTGGTTTGAAGGGTGTTGAGGTCGGGTTAAACCATACAATAAGTATTGAAGGGTAAGTTCACCTGTTCGCGTCATCCAACCTAATAAAGCACGCCTGTTTGCATGCACCCACCATTTCCCTTCTATTTTATGATTGTTAGATGGTAGTGTCCATGACCACTGTGCATTTTCGGGATTTCTCAAAGGCCATTTCGTACAAGAACTGGATTATACAAGGTGTGTAATACAGGAGTATTACATGGTCCTGAACGAATCCTAGGTTTGAAAGACTATCATTAATAACCAAAGATGTCTCTTGAAGCAGGCTAGCCTTCCCAAAAAGTGATCACAGTTAGGTCAGCCACAGTTTAAAGTACCCATCCTGTAGTGGCTGGTTGCGGTTCCAATTTTAGGACAAATCCTAGCCCAATCGCATTATAATGCAGTTCCTGTCTGATAGTAACACTGGTCAAACGCATCAAGTTTATAGGGATTTTGGATTGTACGGTGAAGATTGGGCCTACGTGGGTATTTAGGGATTAGGCACTGAGGGAATTTAAACGAAGCTGTTGCCCAGTCATCATCACCATCAATTGCTAGAGAAGTGCAGTTTCTGTTATCAACATGTACAGTAGTGAGAAAGTACCTACCTACAAAATAATGTAAACGACAGAACGTAAGGGTAAGTTGTAGAAATCTTACGCTTACAGCTCCTATGTACAAACTTCCTTTCGCACGGACATCACAAAGAAAAAAAACCCCAAATATTTCTCTGATATCTGGCTTAATCCGCTTTAAAAATATGTGTATGTCATTGATAAAGTATATATTTATACGTAAAATTATAAGTATAGAAGGTTATTCTGACTCGTAAACCGAGGTCATGAGGTCAACCGGCGCCGAAGCTAAGTTGGACATCATTTTGATATGACGATGTGTTCTCAATCTTTATTGCTTAGGTGATAAGGTTTAAAATTGAGTACTATAATTAAGTAGTTTTTATTGGTCACGTGTTGCACTTTGAGGACCTGATCTATAATATATGATAAAGATTGTTTACAGAAGAGTAACAATGTCTGAAATACATAAGTATAAAAAAAATTGTAGAATTTATATTATAACTTTCGTGAGACTACTAAACTAATTATTATCTTTTCAGCTTAATCACATAATTATATTAACTTAATTCCCCCTAGTCATTTCCATCATCGTACCACAAGACAATCGGCGAAGCGTGTAGCGAAGCGTCACCGATTCATGATAGATGTCCCACCCACAAGCACGAAGCGCTTCGCTTTAAAGTTCCTTGTGCTTGTGCGTATTGCTAAACAGTGGAATTCTTTGTCAGAGTTTGTATTTCCTGAAAGGAGGACCTGGGAGTCTTCAAGGCCCGCGTGAATAAGTTGCTTATGGGACGACGTGATCCATCGTAGACCGATCGATGACGTTTGTTCACTATCTCGCCTGGTGAGGCTAGTTAGTGGTCAAACGTCGACCCATCAAATATATATATAAAAAATTGACGAGGAACTCGACTTACGACATAGACGGACATCTTAAAGAATGTTTCATTTATAACTTACTTAGCGAAAGAAAAACAGCAAAGAACAAGGTTTTGAGCGACATAATAATATAACTTTTCGAAATTTCTATAATCCATCAGAAATTCCCAAAAATAAATCTTCTTTTCGTAAAGTAAAACTGCAACTATGCTTATTTCATGCCGTGGAGAACCTAACGGGTAACCGGGGCTCCAGCTCGAAGTGTAGGAGAAGGAAAGGGGTGGTTTTTAGTCAGTAAGAGTCTGACACTCCCTCCCGCCTCACCCAGGTGGGAGCAGTCATTCGATGATTTTCCCCCCTTAAAAACAAAAGCTTATTTCATAATTACGTATTTGCTGGTGGAATGACAAAAGAACAGCAAAGAGAGAGAGAGAGATAGTGATGCGAGAACTAAAGGTCAGAAGGTACGATGTCGGAGCTTTCGTTAAAATATTATCTTTATCTATTTAATGAAATGAAATGAAATGAAATGAAATTTAATGAAATGAAACATTTATTTGTGATACATAGGTACATTTGGTTGGTCATTTTTAGATTAAAGTGCGCTATTATCAGCCTATTTTAGGCATACAAATACTCGTATAAGAGTTTAAATCAGTAAGTCCATTTTTACATTATCAAGTTCAAAAGAAGCGGAACTTATTTATGAAATGGTTGGTGCAGCACTTTCCCCCTCGCTTACACAAGGATAAGTAAGATAAGTGAACATAATAGCATAACATTACATCACGCCTTTTATCCCCGAAGGGGTAGGCAGAGGTGCACATTACGGCACTTAATGCCACTGTACAATGGGTGAAAAGTGGGTGTTACATTGTACAGAGGCATAATGTGCACCTCTGCCTACCCCTAGGGGATAAAGGGCGTAATGTTATGTTATGTTATGTTATTTAAGTTAGATTAGGGTATGATGAGACTGACATACCTTTGTATGGGAAAAAAGCCTCTAAATAAATAAAGATGAAAAAAAACATATCACGTACAATTTACTCTTTTACTTTCTTAGCAACATATCCAAAAATAGATACACAAAAAGACACATATCTCTAAAACTTTTGTCCACTTAAAATTCTCAGACATTTACGATTATAGGTCTCGTTAAAATGTATCGATGTTGGCTTTATTGTGCCAATAAATGTTCTATCTCTGTTTATAATCCTAAACTATGAAAAAAAAACTTCAATAATATAAATAATTGGCAATAAATCAACGCAAAATTCACTGACGAAGCTAGTTTTTTTATTATCTAATGATCGTATCGTAAATATCTTTGATGCTTTTAAACACGATCAGGTAAAGATGGCAGACCATCTGATTTATCACCTAAATGTAGACATTCCAAAGAAACTAGTTTCCGTAAACCACGACCTTGCTAAAAGTTGACAAGAACATGCAACTATCCAATGAAATTGATCGATAGCAATTTTTCGATCATCAATTTTACGGGTCGCGGTTTTTGTAGTTTCCAATGTGGAGATGAAATGTATTCTTTTTTGTGTTAGTATTTAGTGTTGCAATAGTTACTGGTTTGATAAAGAATTTAGTAAAGTTGGTAACAAAATAAAACTTTAAATTATTTAGGTCTTTTTTTTTAAGGTGGGAAAATCATCGAATGACTGCTCCCGCCTGGGTGAGGTGGGAGTGTCAAACTCTTCCTGACTAAAAACCACCCCGTTCCTTCTCCTGCACGTCGAGCCGGAGCCCCGGTTACCCGTTAGGTTCTCCGCGACACCGAATCGGCATCGGCCCTTGTTGGGCCCTCTAGGTCTAAAGGTCTTAGCATAATTTATAAAACCAATTGCTGCTTAGAAGCCCTTAATAGTAAGTAGCCAAGAATTTTTTTATATGTCGCCTCTTTGCAAGAATACTGTGATATTTCAGAAAAATCGAAAAATTTTTTTTTATTCCATAATCAAAACCGCCGTATTGAACTTTATTTTCGATAAAAACGAGGTATTTTTTTTGACAATAACGGTGCATCTATGAGCGAAAGAGACAAGACAACTGCAATATTTTGTGTTGTCGCGCTGTCTCTTTCTGCCTCGTGATTTGTTTCGACAATGTGTCCCATCAGTCGGCGCGTGCCATTTGGAGGGAAGGGCGCTCTCGTATTTGTGCAAAAACGTGACATCACGAAGATACCACATTACGATTGCTAAGGTAAGTTTGAACTCTTTGATATTTTTTTATTAAGTAATGTGATATGTTGAATTGACACAGTTTTGTTGAAAATAGTATGCAATTTTAACTTGTTATTACTTTTGATATCACGTTTTCGTTGAAAAGATATCGTTTTTGTTTTGTAACATCATAAGATGACGCGTTGTTGACAATGAAATATTTTACAAACCATAAAATGGATTCGGAGTATTTTGTAATGTTACTTTTTTCTAGATAAATTATAAGTTTTTTTGTAAATTAAATCGTTATGTCACGTTGTAAATACTAAAACAAATGAATTATAAATATTTATTTTTTCAGATGGGATCGCGGTCCAGAAAATTAGTACAATTAGCAACTATGCAAAACGTAGTTGATAGTAACGTAAATGATAGTTCCAGTATCCAAGCCGAGGAAGTTGATGACTCTAATATAAACGCAATGATTCCAGAAGGTAAGACTTAATAATTTTGTTTTTTAAAGAATATTTTTGTAAAGACTAAATGCCACCTATGTTCGGTCCCATGTAACAAGGGGCGAGCCTGTTGTCATGTAGTTATTTAAAATGAGTACCTATTAATACGAAACGAACTTAGGTGCTTACATTTTCATAGATTTTAAACAAATTGGATTTCCAATATTGGAAATCCATACATGAGGCCTATGCCCAGCAGTGGACGTCCATCGGCTGAGAAGAAGAAACAAATTGAGCAACATTATAAGGAGTCTTAGTGTGTTTTCTACAGATAATTATGTAAACACCTCGATTTTAGTTTTTCTAACTATTAGGTACTTATGTTTCATAAAGATTTTCTATTGTTTAAGTTATTATTATTTATATTTCTTTTAGACAAAAGTAACGATGACTCAAAACATCGTCGACGTGAGTCAACTAGTAGTACCAGTAGCTCTTCAAGTAGCTCTTCGAGTTCTTCTTCGAGTTCCTCCTCAAGCAGTGGACCATCTTTTTATGAAGGTAGTAAGTTTTTATATAAATGCATTTATTATATTTCTTAATACATACATACATTATTATTGTTACGCCTTTTTCCCATTGGGGTAGGCAGAGACTACTATTTCTTAATAAATGCACTTATTCAATTTATGTAATAATTTGTGTTCAATTCTGTGCATTTCGGATGCCGAACGTTTGCAACGTAATTATTTGGGACTCATTTTCTTTTAACTTTTCCCCAGATAGTGATGATTCCGTAAAGGATCCCAATTATCAAGAGGAGAAGTCAAAAAGTAATAATATACATAGTTCAGACTCTGAAGAAGAAGGTGCCAGCACTAACTACAACTTCTCAAAAGACCAAGACTTGTTTAATTTAAATAATAATATTGCTTCAGTTGACACCATAGAGCAAGTTGACATGTTATTGGTAAGTAATTCAGCAGAAAATCGAGACATAATAGTTAACCATACAAATCAGATAGATCTGGTCGCAACAGAGAATAATTCGCTTGTAGTTGGGAATGATACCACTATGCCAATAGAGCCAACCACTTCCAACATCACCCCAACTAAAGTAGGAAAAAAAAGACCAAGGCAAGAGTTAAATTGGAAGAAGAACATCGCTAAGCGATTAAGAAATAGTGGACTATCATATATTTCAACAAAAACTAATAAGCCCTTTCCAAAACGCCAGCTTAAACCACCTTGCAGAGAAAATTGTAAATTTAAATGTAGCTCTAACTTCTCAGAGCTTGAACGTGAGAAAATTTTAAACGAATATTGGGGTTTAGGACAAATTGAGAAACAATGGACGTTTATAGCTAATAATGTCGATTTAGTTATTCCAAAACAGCGATATGTGAAAGTGGACTCAGACGGAAATATTGCTGCAAAGCGTGAAAACAACAACGCTTTCTTTTTGACTATTTCTGGTGCAAAGATCAGAGTATGTAAATTGTTTTTCAAAAACACTTTGGCTATCAATAACCGCCCTATAGAGACCGCGTTGAAAAAGAAAAATAATGACACTAATATCTCGTCAATGAAAGATTACCGTGGCACTCATCTAAATCACAGTAAAGTTGATGAAAACATTAAAGAAAGCATAAGAAAATTTATAGAAGCGATACCAAAAATAGAATCGCACTATATTCGAGCAAACTCGAAAAGACATTACATTGACGGCAGCAAAGCAATTACAGACCTGCATAGAGACTACGTTGAACAATGTAAATCTAAAAATATACCCTATGCAAGTTATTTAATGTTTTATCGTATATTTACACAAGAATTTAATATATCGTTTTTTGTGCCGAAGAAAGATTTGTGCGATACATGCGAAGTTTATAAAAATAGTACGCCCGAAGAAAAAGAATTGAAAAAAGAAGACTACGAAAAACATATCAGAGAAAAAGAATTATCACGCATTGAAAAGACAAATGACAAGAACAATAAAAATATTTTAGTTGCTGTTTACGATCTCCAAGCTGTATTCCAGTGCCCTAAGGGCGATATTTCTGTATTTTACTACAAATGCAAACTTAATGTTCTTAATCTAACAATTTATAATATTCAGAATAATGTTGTTGAAAGTTACGTATGGGACGAGTCACATGCAAATAGAGGCATAAATGAAATAGGTACTTGTGTATTTAATTACCTTACCAAAATGTCAAATTCAGCTGAAGATTTAGAGGTTGTCTTCTATTCAGACAACTGCGCAGGGCAAAATAAAAACAAATTCATGATTGCCCTGTATTTATATGCCGTACAGACCTTGCCTAACCTGAAATCCATAACACACAAATATCTTGTAAAAGGCCATACCCAGAACGAAGGCGACTCTGCCCATTCCCAGATTGAGAGACAAGTAAAGAGGCTATTAAGATCCGGTCCTATATACACTCCCGACGGATTTATCGGTGCTATAAAAACAGCCAGGAAAAAGAGTGAGCCAATACACGTCAATGAAATGTGTTTCGAAGATTTTTATGATTGGAAAAGTGTGTGTAATCAAATTAATTTTAACTTAACAAAAGATGAAGATAACCATGTAGTTAAACTATCAGAAGTAAGAGTAATAAGAGTTAGTAAAGATGATACAAATGCTATATTTTATAAAAATTCTTATGCTGAAACGGACTTTAAAAAAGCCGTCGTTTTGAGAAAAAAGAGAAACAACAATATAGAAATAAAAAATCTCTATAATAATAAACCCGGGTTAGCTGAACGAAAAAAATCGGACCTAATGGATTTGATTAATAAGAAATTAATTCCCGGAGTTCATAGGAGCTTTTACGAATCGCTCTAAGAATGTTTTTATTTTATTTTTTATACTATTTTTGTAATTTTTATAACAATTATTTTTTATTACTTTATGTGAGATAAGTGAAACGTCGGTTCCTTTAAGTACAATACCTATGTGATATTTTATAATGAAAAGTTCCTAAGTCGTAATTTTATAGTACTTAATGATAAATACTCAAGTTTTTAATACATTTTGCAAGTATATAATACATAAAATTTTAGATACTTATTTTTAAAACCTATCTCAATATGAATAAAAATATTTTTAGTATGTATTATTATTCTTATTGAGATGGTTTTGTTTTAGTTAAAATATAGATTATGGTCCACCTAAAGTAGGTTTAGAATAAACCTAGTGATTATTTACAAAGACTAATGTTACGAAGAGACTGATTGGTTAGCTAGATCTAAAATAATAATAACAAATTTAGTAATAACAGTATACTTTTAATTAAGAACTGATAGCTATAGTTTCATTTTGTTAACTTTGTTGATTATTAACTGTTGAATTACTGTATTTAAGTAGGTAACTGTATATCCTACCTACGTTATAATGACTAATGTTTATGCTTGATTTTCTTTTCCTACAAATTTTTCATTGATTTAATAAACATTTTTATTTCTAAAATGTGTTTTTATCATATAACCTAACACAACACAAAAAAATATATTATCAACAATGTGACAAGTTCATATGTCACATCGATCCTTGAAAACTTTTTCAGTAATAGTGTGACAAAATATCCCTTTTTTTTTAATCCTGTTAATTTATACCGAAAAATAGCCAATAGCGCAACAATTACTATAGTTTTAGATGAATTAATAGTTAAATTATAAATCACTAGAAGGTTTTGTTGCTTTAGCTCTATTATTTTAGATTTTATAACATTTCGAAAGTTTAAAATACGCGTCCTGTAAAATTGCCTTTTTTGAGATGTTACAGTATTCTCGCAAAGAGGCGATGTATCTTCGACTGACTCCTCGTTGGCCTCGTTGGCCGAGTGGTCGCAAGAGCGACTGCCGGGCAAGGGGTCTCGGGTTCGATTCCCGGGTCGGGCAAAAGTATTACTGGGTTTTTTAAAAATCCCAGTAGTTACACGGAGTCTGGAAATGTGCCCGGTATATGGCAATAGGCTCACCCTCTATTACATGGGACTTATAACTTAAATAGTGAAAAATGGGTGTTACATTGTACAGTGGCATTAAGTGCCGAAATGTGCACCTCTGCCTACCCCTTCGGGGACAAAATGGGCGGGGCGTGATGTTATGCATCTTCTAAAGTTTTGTAATATGAAAATTAATAATAATTCAATAAAATCACACACAGAAAACGTGACGTTTCTAAGAAAAAGACCAAAATACTTATAAGTGTTTGGCAAATTTTATAAATACCAACTAACTTAGACTAACTACATAACTAGGTGCTACAGAAATAACATTCTAAATTCCTGTAATTATGTTATTGTTGTATCGTTATGTTTCCATGTTTTTACAACTTTTTATTTGTCAATTTTATTTTTACTTCAGCCACTTATTTTGTTAGTAACAAGGATAACTAGGTATTCTTCAGCCGGACCTTTGGGGCCACGGGTACGTAGAGTGGGGACTCTAGGTGCCCACCCTGTGGTCTCAGGGAAGACGGTGGCACAGTGGTCACGTGCCGCCGTACACAGCAAGGCTTAACACGTTAAACGCCATGGCAGTCACCGGTGACCGACATTAGCGGAGGATTTGCCTTCAACAGTTTTTTATTGGCAGCCAATGCCTTAAAGGAGACACCCGTCTCCCTAGGGATGTGTCGTAACAGGCGTTGCACAGTGGAGGCGGACTCTCTTAGAGGACCCGGTGCCTCCATTCAGGTGTTGAGGGTGGCCACAGGGGTGGTTTTAGTGAGGTAAAAATCCCACACTCCCTAGTCTTTTATCCCCAAAAAGGCTGGGCGCCTTTTGAAGGTTTCCCCCCGTCATCAAAAAAAAAAAGGTATTTGCCGAAATGGACATGAGAAAAACAAAATGTAACAATCACCAATTTTCCTTCTCCATTAAAATAATAAATCTGTAAACTCTTTCGGCTCAAATTAGAGGTACATAATTTTCGGAGTTCGAGTGAAGATTCGATATCGACATTTTTCAAAAATCGATATTTCGATAAGTTTACTGCAGGTTTTAAAAATTAAAAATTAATTGCAGCAATTGATTTTCAGTCTGAGAGATACGTTCATAAATTAACGACACTACTTCTAGACTATTGTAATCTAACTATTGAAAATAACATAATTTAGAAATAATATTAATCAATGTTTTCTATTTTATTTTGTAAGTAGAGTAAGTACCTTTGCGATGCCCAAAATCAATTTTGTCAACAATTATAAACCACCCTGTACACACTATACCTCTAGATGCAATACAGTGATTTGATTTGATTTGATTTGATTTGACTATGTATTCTACAGCAGTGTACTAAAATATTGTCCTTTACAGCTGACCAAATCTAGTTAAAACTGGTTAGCACTGCAAAATAATTCTTCACACCTACTTACCGTTCAATAATTATTCTTTTCTTTCAATTGTATATACTTAGGGGGAAGTCCCTTAACGCCGGACAGCACCTAACGCCGCCGTACGCTTGTATTATCTCTACAACTAATTTCGCGAGCGATTCAATTTTTAGGGGGAAGTCTTCCAGTGGCGGACACCTAAGATTTTTAGTAAAAATTGAATCGCTCGTGTTATCAGTTATCGAGATAATACCGGCGTACGGCGTTAGGTGCCGTCCGGCGTTACGGGACTTCCCCCTATATCTGTGCATTGAGTAGTGTAATTAGTTTTTTGTACCGTTCTATTCATATTAATATATTAAGGATACCTAATTTAAATACAAATGACTGCCTTATTAGTCGAGTCCTTGCAAGTGCGACCGCCGAGCAAGGGCTCTCGGGTTCGATTCCCGGGTCGGGCAAAGTATTACTGGGTTTTCTAAAAATCTCAGTAGTACCACGGAGTCTTGAAATATGCCCGATATATAGCAATAGGCTCACCCCTTATTACATGGGACTAATAACTTAAAAAGTGAAAAGTAGGTGTTACATTGTACAGCGGCACAAAGTGTCGTAATTTGCACCTCTGCCTACCTCTTCGGGGATAAAAGGCGTGATGTTATGTTAATTTAAATACAAATGTCTAAGTTTAATGCTACCAATTAATAAATCTTATCGAAGAATGCAATCAAAAATTAATGAGCTGTTTTACATAAATAACAAAACACCGTCGCGACACACTGATATTATTTTATTTTACTAGATAATAATTTACAAATTTCTGTTTTAAAAATCAAAATATGTGACATTTATTATAAGTTTCACAACTTTATATTGTATTGAGATGAGAAAACCAACCTCCCGCTGTTTTATAATGTAATAATTGTCAATCATTATGGTAATAATTTGAATATTATTAATATAATTATAGATAGATACAACACAAAAACTGTTTTTTAAGTTCCAATACAATACATTTTGTATCAATTTATGTTATGCAACCTCTTTTTTCGAACACGAAACTTATGTTTAAGATACCTAGACTTAGGTAGACGTTATAATTTATAATGTGTAGCTAGCATCATTTATTTCTATGCCCGACTAATTGAATGCTCTTAAATGATACAAAATTATAGCATACTTACTGTCAACCCGCGACATTTATTTCAAAGTGATTTTTCTAGTTAATAAGTTAAATATCAAGTTTGAAAAAATAATTCTTCTACGTAAGTAGCAGTTTTTTATAAGTATATTCCTTTTAGAACTTAGAAATATTGAAGTTAATTACTATTGAAGTCGTGGTGGCCCAGAGGTTTAAGACGCTCGCTTCTCATGCATGAGGATACGGGTTCGAAACCTACCAACGGCAAGTACCAATGTGACTTTTTCCGAGTTATAAATGCTTCCTAAGATTATCTAGACACCACTGACAAACGGTGAAGGAAAACATCGTGAGGAAACCTGGGCTTATAATTTCTAATTATAAGTTTGACATCGCCAATCAGCATTCAGCAAGCGTGGTGATTAATGTTCAAACCCTCTCCGTGTGAGAAAAGGCTTTGCTCAGCAGTGGGCATTTAAAGGCAGTTGATGATGATTGATGACTATTGAAGTTACATAATTATAAAAATAAAAGAAGGAATAGAATAGTGAATAGGTTTTTAAGGGTCAGCAAGGCCCATGTATGTAATGCCCCAAGTGTTGTAAGCGTACATAGGCCACGGTAACCGCTTGCCATCAGGTTGGCCGTGTGCTTGGTTCATAAGTTTAATAGGTCGCCAGTGCCTAGTACGGCTGCTGAACAATTCCAATTCGAGATTGTTCTGTAGAAGTGTTAGAGCTATGCTTCAGCATGAATGGACCGGCTCGACCAGAGTCATACCACGGCCTCACAGAAAATCGTCGTAAAACAATGCTTGCGTTGTGTTTCGTCGTGTAAGTGAGGTTACCATAGGCCCAATTACCCCCCCCCCCCTTCCCCAATTTCCCCAATCCCTAAATCCCAAACAATCCTCAAATTCCTAATCCCCCACCGTAATAACACGGAGTCTCGGGTAGGGTAGCAAACCAAATTTTATTTTAATGTCCATCTGGTAGATTAAACAATAAACATTTTTTTTATACAAAACGACAATTTCATATAAAGCCCTATTATAGCTCGATCTGTGACGGCCGTAATAACTTGTTGGAATACAAAATTTGTCTTTCCTAGTACCGTTTCTTTACACCAGGATGTGTACCTATAATTTAGCACCTAACCATACAAGTATAGGTACATAAAATACAAATAAAAAGTACCTAAGTATTAGGTACGTAGTTTCTATTGATCTCTCCTGTCAATAGTGAAATTAATTTCTGAAGATGACTGGATATTTTTCCTCTAATTGTAGACAAATAAACGTCTTGAACATTGTAGGTACGACGTCCGTGCTTAGATAGATATGCAATCAAACTACGACAAGTAGAGGTGAGGTTTATCACATAACATAACATCACGCCTTTTATCCCCGAAGAGGGAGGCAGAGATACGCATTATACCACTGTACAATGTAACACCACATTTCCCTATTTATGTTATGAGTCCCATGTAGTAGGGGGTGAGGCTATTGCCATATACCGGGCACAATTCCAGTCTCCGTGCTACTACTGAG